TACGCCGGCCGGAATAACACCATCGAACATCAATAGCTAATGAAGTTCTCTGTTCACCTTATTAACCCAGCCAATCTACACCCACCCGCCAATCAATTGGAACGGCCCGGATCGAAACTTAATTGCTTGTACATCGGACCGAACCATTCCTCACTGGGGAATACCAGGATCAATCAGGGGCATGGTGGAGAAGGAATATTCAACATACTTTGCTTGGACTAAGGATGAACAGAATATCGTGGGGAAGGTTTTTCTGAATGTATATTTTCTGACAACTTTCTAGTGTCACTGACAAAAGGTAGTGGATGCTACCTGAAACGTCTGACCATTTCCAAAATCATATCCAGTTGCCTGAGTAACTGTTGTTTGACCTAACTAGGCAACAGTCTAGGATAAATTGGCATGCTCTCACCAATGCTGGGTGCTTGGACATTTTAGGGTAAAAATTCAGTTTTGGGGCATATTTTATTACCTGGATATCTAACATTCACCAGTGTTTCCTTCTCTTTGTCTTAATTTTGCTGAAGATGTCTCCAAGTAGCTCAATTCCCAGGGTAAGAGTAAAGAGATAAGAAGAGTTTTGGTATAGGGGGGTGTTTATTTGGGGGGGGGAGAACCTGGAGGGGGGGTACCAAGAGGAGTAATTTGTAGTCAATGGAGTTGCTTTGCATTCTTACACACAAACTGTAAACATGATGGAATGTTGTGTTGCAATCTCTACAGCTATCGCTGGTAAAACCTTCAGCCATGTTATATAATATCTTATCTAAACGTTTTGGTATAGGGGGTGTTCATTTGGGGAGGACCTGGAGGGGGGGTACCAAGAGGGTAGTTGGAGTCAGTGGAGTTACTTTGCATTCTTACACACAAACTGTAGACATGATGGAACGTTGTGTTGCAATCTCTACGACTATCGCTGGAAAAGCCTTCAGCCATCTCGTGGGTATCTTATCTAAATCTTAAGAAGCTTCAGAAGGAGGAGAGAGGAATGCCTCAAGTTCAAAGTGTCCCTGAATCTCTCCCAAGGCTCCATAGGGACATCACCATTCATCCTGATGATGAATATCGCTCGCAAGGCCCCATAGGGACATCACCATTCATCCTGATGATAAATAACCCCGACCCTGGCTAAGGAAAGGTCAGACGAGGTCAGACAGGCTGGCTGCACGGCTAGCGGGGACAAGGAACGGAGTATCAGACAGGGACATCTCCAGACTCCAAGACACTCACCAAGACACTCATTAACAACCCTCCATCTCTCAAGCATAGACAAAAATACACAACGAAGTAACAAATTACCAAACTATAGACAGCTACTGGATACATCTCTCAAGGATAGACTAAAATACACAAGTAACAGTTACCCAAGCTAGATACTGGAACCGAGTATCAGACAGGGACATCTCCAGACTCCTTACAGATAGCAAGACATTCTACAAGACACTCATTAACAACCCTCTATCTCTCAACACTCAATCTTTCAAGGACAGACTAAAATACACAAGTAACAGTAGCGTGCGTAGTCCAGTGGTTAGCGATCCTGCCTCTGGACTAAGAGGTTGGGAGTTCGAATCCCGGCTGTTGTCGCTCACCCGACATGCATGCTACTGTTTAGGATCACAGTCCTTAGGACGGGACGTTAACCGTGGTCCACTGTTCATTGTGCTTGTCGAAAAGCGCTAGGGGAATTTCCCCGGTACAATGAACCTGTAAATACTGTACATAGCGTCTGTCTTCTCTGTCACGACCAGTGGAAGATTAGCTCTTCAATGAGCTAAACTGGATCGAGATCACTTTCATTCTTTCTTTCAGTTACCCAAGCTGGATAGCTACTAGATACATAGTTGCTTGAAACTAAACTCCACAATGAATGAATGAATGAGTGAATGAATGAATGAATGACTGTCATGAAAGTTCATCTGTGTTACATGTTCAAGGATTTTGGACACCAAACAAGACTATTTCCTGAGAGGGGTGAAGGAGGCTATTTACATCAGGGCCCATCACCCTACATTGAACCGCGACGGGGGCCGACATCGTCTACCAGATACCTTTGACCCAGTGTTGACGTCACACTTCAAAGAAGCCACGTGACAAGCTTCACTCGGTCAGTCTACTGAGGAAGACCAGAGTGACTGGTCGAAAGCTCTAGGTGAGAGAATTTTTTTTGTGTAGGACCAAAAGTTTTAACTTTAAACAAGACTGAATGACTGGTTTCTTTCAATGATAATATCACTAGTGAGAGACCATGACTGTTACTAAACTCCATCGTGGTGAGATTTTCAGATTCAAATTTTATTGAATATTGACTGGCATGTCACATTAAGTGCATGAAATATTTTGCACTATTTACAACTAGTACCCAATTATTACAAATAGATAGCATAAAATCCTACATATATCTGTATCATTAGTGGTAAAGTACATCATAAAAACTTATCACATCAATGAGTACAACAGCTAAACATTCTAAAATCAGCATTACCAGAGAAGAATAACACAATAAAACCACAATAGTATATAAAAAGATCAGGTCTTAGACAATAGCTAGGAACTGAAGTGAGAGACCACAATACTTAAAACCTCACATTGGTGAGAGACCATGATTTGTGGGTGAGGACAGGCAAGTTGCTCCCGAGGGAAGGTTCCAGGATTACGAGCCTCCTGATTGGACAGGTAAGACAGAGTGGCAAGCGAGGGGGTCAAATTTCACCGTCCGCACACACAATGGAGAGTAACCACACACTGAGGCTATGTGACAACAGGGAGTGATTAGGTAGACAGCAGGACTGATTACAGCAGAACTCACACAATAACACAGTCTGGAGAGAGTTGGAATCAGGATGGGACGTTAGATGAATGGACGGTTTACTAAAGAAACAGTTACTCATTGACAAGCAACTGGAGCAATTTCTAAAACAGTCAGACATTTCAGGTAGCATCCACTAGCTTTGGTCATAATCAGGATGGGATGTTAGATGGACGACGTTTTACTAAAGAAACAGTTACTCAAGCAACTGGGTAACTGGGTAGATTTTAAAAATAATGGTAAGACGATGAAGGTTAGACATCCAGGTAATAAGATACGCCAAAAAACAATTACTCATTGACAAGCGACTGGATATGATTTTGGAAACGGTCAGACATTTCAGGTAGCATCTACTTTTTGTTAGTGACTGAAAGAGAACTGTACAGTCAACAGGTATTCATCCAAAAACTATAAAGAATACGTGGTATGTAAACAAGACAGACTGAGACAACAGGGACAAAAATGTTCAGTTAGATCATGCTGCATCCATTAAAATCTATTATTTCTTATTGCCTGGATGTCTAAATTTCATCGACGTACAACGTTAGCTCTGTTCACAGACAGACATCTATGTTACGTCAATGAAGGTTAGACATCCAGGCAATACAATACACCAAAAAACAGTTACTCAAGTCACTGGATATGATTTGGGATGATTTTGGATCATATCCAGTTGCTTGAGTTACTGCTTTTTGGTGTAGACATCTATGTTAAACCTTCAGCATTCTAGGGTAACCAATGGCACCAAATTTGTATTACCAGAGAAATCCTACCACAAGCAGGTGAACATCCACACTGGAGAGGAACCCAGACCACAAGTCAGGAGGGAGTGACCAAACAGCCACACAATAGAGATGGATGAAGGGAGCGAATGACAGATAAGACGGATGGATGCGGTGGCCGGATTCGCCACAACGGCAGGGTGCAGGAAACCATCAATCATCATAACCAGAACTTCATCACCTACAGGTCAACGACCTGCCGTAACCACACACTTTCTCCCAAACTGTGACAGGGGGAGTTAGGTTAGATGGATGGGGGG